GCAGAATTTAAGGCTGCTGCTCGCCGATGGCACGGTCAGAAAGCTCCACGTACCTACGCATGCGCGTTTCGGAGGCGGGAAAGGGGTGTGTCTCAACATGGGTACTTCTTGGATGCGCACGGGTTGATCCAACTGAAACCAAAAAGGAAAACAAAAGAGAAACCAAGAGGGAGGCACGATGCCATCGGAAAACCGAACCCTGTGTAAAATGAAACAGAGAAGCCACGAGGCGCATCCGCCCATTCTTGCGCTCTCCCTGTGGGGCATGTGCACAAAACACAAGTGGCTGTATCTTTGTTTTGCAGCTTCCCACAAAACCAACAGAAAACCGAACTCAAACACGCGTTTCCTGATTGCCGCTTTTTTGGTCTCCTTCTTCGGTACCCCTCAGAGACCAGACGCATCGAATCTGCCACTAAAGCTTCATGTCTCTGCCTGAAAGCGGACGTCGGACCGCTGCACAGAACTCATTAGACGTGAAAGTACATTTTGATACAAGGGGGGGTTGATCAATATGCCAAAAAAAAATGGGGGGGTCCCCTGTTTTATTCGCTTGAGTTCATGGACCTTCGTCACTCTTGGGGGGTTGGACGATATTTTCGCGGGACCAGCTGGGCGACTTTTCAGGGACCATTCCACTCGTTCGGAAGTGAGTCAACCCACTTCCTAGCGCAGAACTGGTTCTTGGGGTTATCTTGGGGCCGGTCATCACCATGGGCAGCTTCTCCCATGTCAAAGGTTGGGTCCTGTTCAAAAATGGTCATCCCAAAGGACCGGAGTGATCAACCTGTACCGATGTCTGGCATTGAAGTGACCTGGGATTTTGGGGAGGTGCGAATTATCCGGTGGGCTTAGTGAGCGTGCCCACTGTCATTCTGTCATGCCCTGCTAGTCTATGAGAGTAAAGATTGCTCTTGGCTCAAATGCAAAATCCCCAAAAACAAACTCTTGGCACAATTCCCCTTGTGTGAGTGTGTAAAGGGGATGACGAAACCAAAAGGGGCGGAGGGATTGTGCGATCTACTTCACCTAACTGTCTGGCGCCTTGATGTGGGCGGTGCTCGTTCTATCCAATGTACTCTCATGCCATTGGATGAGCCTCTGCATGGTTTGCGCAGACGGGTCACCGTGTTTGATCTCTGCTTTTCGTGACACGACGCTTGGGCCCGTGCAAACGGCCTGTTGCAGATGTGCGCAAGTGACAGAGCCGGATGCACCCAGCGCCGTTGCGCATTCCTTGGGTTTGTCCCCGGTGCAGCTTTCGAAATAGCGTGGTGTCGCCAGGGAAGTCTTCCTTCCTTGGGATCCGCTCACAACCGAAGCCCAAGGAGCAGGAAGCCAACTCCAGAACTCCACGCAGCCCTTCGGCGTGGGGAAGCCGTGGTTCAGCGTGAACATTGGTTTTTGGGTCGTTCCACCAGCCAGCTTTTGAGATGGGGCCCTGGGAAAATGAATGGCCAAAGGCACAAATGCCCCCAAGAACCATCCGACTGGTTTCCTTGAGAATCACTTGGTTTCCCACACAACCTGTTGATTTCCTGCCGGGGTCGGGGGGCCGGCCGGCTCCGCCGAAGAACATCTCAAAACACCCCAACCTCCCCCGGCTCAAATGAAGAGGTATCCACTCGCAAAAACTAAATGGCTATAGCTAAAACCAAGGGACACCTCCGCCGGTTTTTATCAAAAAGCGCCCGGCCTTGGCGCGCAACCCACCAACCCTACCAAGGCGAAGGCCTGGGGTGCTTCGAGAGGAAGTCGTCCAGCCACTCGAAGGTGCCCTCATCCGGCACGGCCATGGGGAAGATCACCTCCGGAGTCACGAAAAACGGCCGCAAACAAAAAAAAAAAAACGCGGGGAAATGGACGGCTTGGTTTGTTTTTGTTGTAAAAACAGCAAATTAAAACCGCGGCTAATGAAAGTTGGCTTCGGCTTCGCGGTTTCCAAGTGGGCTTCCCTTCATTTCCCTTGATTTCCCTGATGTTCCAGGCGTCTCAAACGGTTTCCATAGGGAAATGTTAGGGATTTTCACTCCCGGGCTGAGTGGCATGCAGAAAGCGGCCAGATCTGGTCGCATCTGTTTCGGACCCACTGTCGAAATGGACGAGAAGTAGGGCAATGTTAATTTCTAGGGGAGTATCGGATAAACCCACGAATCTGGGGAGTGAGTAGTAGTGAAGGGCCAGACTGGGGCCAGCCGAAGTAGTCTTCCATCAAGTCCAGTTTAGTATTGGCTTAGTATTGGCATAGTATTTGCTTAGTATTCTTGTGTACTGCCTCAGTACTGTCTTAGTTGTGGTTTAGTATTCCTTTGAGCTGGCAGGTGTCACAAAGCATTTGGCTCCTTGACACCTCGCTTTTCTTGTCAGCTTTTTGGGTACCAGCAAGCTCAGACGTTGCCAGCCCCAAAATATGTCTCTTATCCAACTGGAAACATTCCGGATTGCTTGGCCCCGTTTGTTTTGTGTATTTCTTCCCTTTGTTGCTTTCAGGCACGGGCATAGTTATCGGGAAAGAAAGAAGTGTGCTGACTCCATGTTGCATTCATCGCCCAACATTCTATCAGAGATCTCCGGATTTCGCCTGCAGAAGTTGCAACTTACTGGTGGTGCCCTTTGGAAGTGCCACTTGTGGAGGTCAGAAGGGAACAGCTCGGAAACCCTGTCTTATGTGGTGACTCAAGTGTTTTCTCCCCACGGCCAACTGGAGAGCTGGAGGTGTGGCTTCGGTTCACAGAGCCAGGTAGAGGCGAAGCTCTGCCAATTCGGCAGGTGAAGGTGTTTCAGGTCGGTGTGCGGGTGGTTTCCCAATTCGCCTCAAGACCCGGGGGTTCAAATTTCAAATCCACCAGATCCTTCTGCCCAAAACAACAAACACTTCCCACAGGAACTTCAAACTGTGAGGGAACCCTGTCCCTCAATGGCTCAAAGTAGAGGGTGCTTCTCAAAATAGAAGCACCCTAACATGGTGGTGTCCTTTAACTTTCCCCTTAATCAACCAAAACGGGGTCCGAAATCCATTTTGACCAACCGACACTTCACTTTATGAACTGCGGTCAACACTACGAGCGTTCCCCCCAAAAGGACATGGGGAATTCAGAGCTTGTGGGGAAGTTTAGAGGTCCGTCCCCCATGTCCTAAACCCGAGAAGGCCATCCTACCCAACCCCCGGCAGATTCCAATAGGTTGCACATGGAGCAACCTGTTTCTGCAAGAAAGTGGCGAAGGACCTATACATGATTCTATGTTCATGACACCTGTTTGTCGTAGTACGCCCACAAACTCCAATATTGTTAGGCCCGTGTTCAGTTCGGTCAGCCTTTCAACGAAACGATGTTCATGCGGCTTTCGCATGCGAAATCGAAACGAACTCCCACGCGCCTCGTAGGCGCTTTGGGGGGCCTGGCAAACGGAAACGCGCGCGTGTCCGCTTCTTCCCAGCCAGTCAGGGGTCAAGAATCACCCATATGACTCATACGAAACTCGACAAAGAATCCCAACTGAGTCATAACCAAAACCCGGTATTAAAATGGTCGTAATCCCAGCATGTAAAGAATTCACTGTGGCTCAACTGGCCCGCATTGCTTGACCACTAACATCGGTCCAAGTGCTTCGGAGGTGCATAGTGCAGCCCCTTCATCCCTGAGGCAGTCTTGAAAGGGTCCGGACCTCCCAAGAGACCCGCAGCAAAAAACATTTTGGGTTGCCCATGAAACCACAGCTCCCAATGGACCCTGCCTTTCTCCTTCCCCGTCTGTTGGGACCCTCCTCAAAAGCAGATGTGGTGTTCCATGATCCTGGTCCGAAAGATTAATACGCTCAGAAGACCTCCGACTTCTCCCAACAAAAACCGAAACTAGCTAAACCCTATGATGTGTATATGTATGTGTACATAGTAATATATATATATATATGTATATATATACACATATCTAATGCAGGCAGGGCGGAAGACATCTAATGCAAACAGGGCCCCCTTTTCGCGAGCGATCCCCGCGTGTCGCCGAAGCTTTGGGCCCCCCTGCCACGCCCTTCACGGCATCCGGCTCAGGAGCCTGGCTGGCAGCTGGCAGAAGCTGGTCGTTTTTGCCGGGGCGGAAACGCCGGAAGCTGCTGCCGTGACTTCTGTCCAATTCTCTCTTTTGTTTGGTGGATGGGGTGGTTTCCACCGCCCTGGCGTCCGTCCTTGTTTTCTGTGGTTTGGATGGGGTGGTGTTTGCGGAACCTGCAGGAACACCTCGCCAAATGGTCCGCTGATGAGCCCTTGAGCCCATTTCGAGGGGCCCAAACCTTCGGTTTCGCGGCGGGTTCGCGGCGAAGGAATCCCAGGTGGCCCTACTCCTTCCACGATGTCACTCTGGACCCACCTAAAGGGAAGAGGGGGAAGGAGGAGAGGGCAGTTGCTCTTCGTCTCTCCCAGTTGCTTGCGTGGGTTTTCGGGTGCCACTGGAAAAAAAGTGTCTTGACGGGCACGTCCATTTGGCGTGAGGACTAGGAAGGCCTATGTGAAGGGAAAAGGATGGAGATGAGAGCTGGAGACGTCCAAAGTGCGTCCACGTCTATCTCTCCTCATTTCTCTCACACTTGCTTTATCTCTCGCACACAGATGAGAGATAGAAGGCGAGAGATAGAGATAAGATAGAGGTCAACACCCTAGAGAGGTTTTGGTGGGGATGTCTTTTTGTGGAGTTGGTGCTCACTTTGAGTTTGTTTTTATAGGAAACCAAAAGGAGGCCGTTTCCATTTTTGGGGGTCGCGGTCCCTGTTTTGAGAGAAATGTTTAAATGTCACCCTCAAGGCAACTCACAAGCGTTTGCAGGGGAGTCAGATCAGTCTGGCCCAAAGGAATCAATCCTTCACTTTGTACAGGGATCCTTACATGAAAAACTCCTGAACATTGCAACTTGTAAATGGTGGTGTCCCTTCATTTTAGGAAGAAAAAAAAACAACATGTTTCAAATAATTGCAACATGTATCTTTTAAGGAGCCCTGTTGTTCTTGCCTTGAGTAATTCCCCTCTCCGCTCTTCTTTCCCTAGCGCCCGGACACTTGTTGGCCGTCGCCTTCCGGGCGATCCCTTCACACTTGGCATGTTGAGCGCGAAGCCCGGACTTCCCAAAATGCCAGGGCACACGAGGGAAGCCAAGGAAACCTAGGGAACCCAAATAAACCAAGGGAAACCAAGGGAAACCAAGGGAAACCAAGGGAAACCAAGGAAACCAAGGAAACCAAGGGGATCTAAAGGAACCAAGGTTGGATTCCCTGCCTTCCAAAGGAATCCACCGCGTTTGGGTGAAGCTCGAAGATCCTTGTTCAATGCCTGGTCTAAAAAAGAGCTTGCAACCATGACTACCATGGTGTGCTGGGGCAAACCGGCTGTTTGAACATGTTCAAAGACCTCTTTTATCAACACGTCTTCCTGGTGTCCCAGCTTGCAGATCCCTCTTGGCTCTGGTTTATTGTCCGGATCCGTTTCCCTTTGGTTTTCGTTTGACCCCAAGGGCAACCTCCAAAAAAGGGGCAAACACATTTGACAAACTCCCAACCATATATGGTGGCTGTTTGCATGAGCATCTTAGATGTCCTTCAAAGGATCCCTACCAAGGTTTGGCACCTGTCACTAATTATCAGAACTGCAAGCTTGAGTTCGTGTTTGGAGGAAGCTGGTGGAGACGGAGATTTTTGCCCACTACCGCGCTTCCAGCTGCTGCGGAAACATGCATTTCAAATTTAATACCTTTGTTTCCAAACAGCTTACAGCTGAATCGTGGAAGAATATCTGCCGAATGTACCCTCTCCACGTGAAACCCACCTCTTGGCGCAGAGTTGAACCTCTTCCCCCAGACAGCATCCGTGGCCCCCCTGGCGTCCCTTTGGGTTTAGGAACCCAAAGATTCCTCCCTAGGGCCGAACACATCAGCAGGGCCTGGGCGATCATGTGGCACTTGAAGGGCAGGTCCACCATCGGGGGCCCAAAGCTCGCCTCGACTCGACCGGACGCGAACAAACTCGGCGAAGGGGGGGGGTTGATCTGGGTGTGGCTCAAAATTAAGGAGCTCGGGTTACGCAGGTGTTAGTCTTTAGTTCCATTTGTGGCGATCGAATGGGAGACGGAAGCTGCGGGTGGTTCCGGGTAACTGCTCTTTGATGCTTTATCGCTGCAAAATGTCCCCTCTATCCCTAGTTTCCTTGCGACTTCCCTTTCAAACAGAAAGGGACAAAGCGGGCATCCTCCAAAATGGGTGGGTTCTTCTCGAAAAACGCCTGGAATCTCAGAGAGGTCGGGACCTGAAGACGTTTTGCCTCTAGAAGGGTGCGGGTTCCAGATTAGCACGGCAGCTTGGGCCAACTCCCCGTCAAAACATGCCGAAACACCGATGGTTTAACCAACCTGTGTTTGGTTCCATTCAACGGCGGACAGGGCCCTGCTCAAACAATTATTGCAACCGCTCACTTCTGGTCATGCTAAGATGCTGAAAGGTTCATATTTAGGCCTTGCTATAATCCCATGTGGACTAGGTAGTACAACCCCCTTCTGAAAGACATGGCTATGCACTTCCACAAGCGGCACGAACTGGACAAGAGAACTCGGGGATGCATGTCCACCAATCGCTTTTTAGGTAGTCCAACTCCAAAAGCTCGCCATAGGTTTGCCAAACCAAGGCATGGCCCCCACCTGCACGGTGATGTTCTTGAAGCACACGTGAGGGAAGAGTGGCTTCCCCACCAGGCCTCAAAACTCGGGTGCAAACGGTCATCTGGATCTGGGTATGAATTTTAGTCTGGAACTTAACCCTTTGGTGGATTCCCTAAAAACCACAAACCAATGAAGGGTATCAACTCCTTCAAGGAGTTGGGAGGATGCGCCCTCAAAATTTACCAACATCTCATTTTGAAACAGTATCCCAGGTGGATCGGGACTTTTGTGGGAGGTACTTCCAGCCTCTGTCGCGGGAGAAATCAACCCTGGTGGATCGGGGGACAATTCCCCTCTGCAGGCTTCTCGCCAGCTTCCGTGAGTGGAGGAAGGGCAACCCACCCTCCAAAAATGGTAAAAGCTGAAGGATCCCCGTTGATTTGGGGCACCTCTCCATGAACCAGGGGGGTATGAAACTTGGCTCTGATTAGGGTCATCCGTTCGATTCATGTCGACCCCGGATTCATCAGCCTTGTAGATCCCTAAGTGGGACGGCCCCTCTCAATCAACCGGCATCTTAAGAAGTCTGAGCTTCCATGAAATTTGGTTGGAATCCCCCGGACTGAGCCATGGGGATCCTTTTCCCACTTTGGCATCACCATCTGCCTTTTCGGCACATCACCAGTGGGTTGCTGCACCTTGTTGCGCCTTTTTTGTCGGGAGGGATGCTTGGCTTCCCTTTACAAAAAGGGCTGGCGTCCTTTTTGTTGGGCCATGGGCTTCCCATCCAAAAGATGAGCTCAAAAAATGGCCCCTGCACTCTGACCCAGTCTGGGTATTACACAACTGAGAGCTTTATGACTCAC